TGAGGTCAGGAATGTGGCAGGGATGTCCTCTATCACCACTGCTATTCAACAATATTAGAAGTCCTAGACACAGCAATCAGACAACACAAGGAAATCAAAGTCATCCAAATCGGCAAAGAGGAAGTCAAACTCTCACTCTTTGCAGATGATATGATATTTTATGTGGAAAACCCAAAAGACTCCACCCCAAAACTGCTAGAACTCAAACAGGAATTCAATAAAGTGGCAGGATATAAAATCAATGCACAGAAATCAGTGGCATTCCTATACACCAACAACAAGACAGAAGAGAGAGAAATTAAGGAGTCGATCCCATTTACAGCTGCACCCAAAACCATAAGATACCTAGGAATAAATCTAACCAAAGAGGCAAAGGATCTGTACTCAGAAAACTGTAAAATACTCATGAAAGAAATTGAGGAAGACACAAAGAAATGGAAAAACTTTCCATGCTCATGGATTGGAAGAACAAATATTGTGAAGATGTCCATGCTACCTAGAGCAATCTACACATTCATTGCAATCCCCCTCAAAATACCATCCACTTTTTTCAAAGAAATGGAACAAATAATCCTAAAATTTGTATGGAACCAGAAAAGACCCCGAATAGCCAGAGGAATGTTGAAAAAGCAAAGCAAAGCTGTAGGCATCACAATTCTGGACTTCCAGTTCTATTACAAAGCTGTCATCATCAAGACAGTATGTTACTGGCACAAAAAGAGACACATAGATCAGTGGAACAGAATAGAGAGCCCAGAAATGGACCCTCCACTCTATGGTCAACTAATCTTTGAAGAGCAGGAAAGAATGTCCAATGGAAAAAAGTGTCTTCGACAAATGGTGTTGGGAAAATTGGACAGCCACATGCAGAAGAATGAAACTGGATCATTTCCTTACACCACACACAAAAATAGACTCCAAATGGTTTAAAGACCTAAATGTGAGACAGGAGTCCATCAAAATCCTAAAGGAGAACACAGGCAGCAATCTCTTCTACCTCAGCCGCAGCAACTTCTTCCTAGAAACATCGCCAAAGGCAAGGGAAGTAGGGGCAAAAATGAACTATTGTGATTTCATCAAGATAAAAAGCTTTTGCACAGCAAAAGAATCAGTCCGCAAAACCAAAAGACAACCAACAGAATGGGAGAAAATATTTGCAAATGACAGATAAGGGCTAGTATCCAAATCGTATAAAGATCGTATCAGACTCAACACTCAACAAATAATCCAGTCAAGAAACGGGCAGGAGACACGAACAGACATTTTTCCAAAGAAGACATCCAGATGGCCAACAGACACATGAAAAAGTGCTCAACATTGCTCGGCATCAGGGAAATCCAAATCGAAAGCTCAATGAGATACCACCTCACACCAGTCAGAATGGCTAAAATGAACAAGTCAGGAAACAACAGAGGTTGGCGGGTATGTGGAGAACGGGGAACCCTCCTACACTGTTGGTGGGAATGCATGCTGGTGCAGCCAGTCTGGAAAACAGTATGGAGGTTTCTCAAAAAGTTGAAAATAGAGCTACCATACGATCCAGCAATTGCACTACTGGTCATTTACCCCAAAGATACAAATGTAGGGACCCGAATTGGTATCTGCACCTCAATGTTTATAGCAGTAATGTCCACAATACCCAAACTGTGGAAAGAGCCAAGATGTCCATCGACAGATGAATGGATAAAGAAGAAGTGGTATATATACACAATGGAATATTATGCAGCCATCAAAAGGAATGAGATCTTGCCATTTGCAATGATGTGGATGGAAGTGGAGGGTGTTATGCTGAGTGAAATAGGTCAATCAGAGAAACACATGTATCATATGACCTCACTGTTATGAGGAATTCTTAATCTTAGGAAACAAACTGAGTGTTGCTGGAGTGGTGGGGGTTTGGAGGGAGGGAGTGGCTGGGTGAGAGACATAGGGGAGGATATGTGCTATGGTGAACGCTGTGAATTGTGCAAGACTGTTGAATCACAGATCTCTACCTCTGAAACAAATAATGCAATATATGTTAAGAAAAAAAAGATAGCTGGAAGGGAAGAATGAAGGGGGGGTAAATTGTGGGGGGAGACGAACCATGAGAGACGATGGACTGAAAAACAAACTGAGGGTTCTAGAGGGGAGGTGGGTGGAGGGATGGGTTATCCTGGTGTTGGTTATTAAAGAGGGCATGTTCTGCGTAGAGCACTGGGTGTTATGCACAAACAATCATGGAACACTATATCAAAAACTAATGATGTAATGTATGATGTTTAACATAAAAAAATTTAAAGAAAAAGAAATACTTCACAGAAAGGACCATTTTCTTCCTCATTAATGTTTTTTTTTTTCCTTCTGGTTATCTGGTTATTCACATTAACTGTTTTTTGTTATTAGTCCATTACCACTATCATCAGTAGTGAAGCATTTTTGAAGGGGGTTATGTGACTGTCAGTGCGTCAGAGGAGACTGAGCCGGTTTGGCAGCTCTTCCATGTTGGTGCTTCATGGAATTAGAAGAACTGAAAATGCTATGATCCTGGGGCTAAGGTTCAGGAAGGAGATAGAAAACTCTGTGTGTTATTGGAATAATGTGGACGGTTCTAGAAGTCAGACCTGCGCTTGTTCCCGTCTCTGTGATACACTAGTGTCTATGTGAACTTGGCAAGTTTCTTCCCTCTCTGAACTTCAGTTTCTCACTTACTCTAAATGGCAGAACTAATACCTACTTTGTAAAGTTATTGGAATTACGTGAGAAATCGTGTATACTGGAGTAAGCCCTGCCATAAAGTGGGGAGAAGGAAGTATGAGAAAGAATGAACTCCAGAGGCAGATTGCCTTTCAAGCCTTCTTTGGAACTGATAAGCCATTATGGCAAGATTGCAGGATACAAGGTTAATATCCAGTAGTCAGTTGCGTCCCCATATACCAATAATGAACAAGTAGAATTTGGAATTAAAAACACAGTATTATTCACATTAGCACCCACAAAAATTAAATACCTAATTCAAAATCTAACAAAATATGTATAAGATCGACATGAGGAAAATAAAACTGGTAAAAGAAATCAAAGAACTAAAGAAATGAGATATTTCATGTTCATGAGTAGGAAGACTCAATGTTATCAAGATATCAGGTCTTCCCAACTTAATCTATAGATTCATTGTAATCCCAGTCAGAATCCCAGAAAATTATTTTATGAGTATGGACAAACTGACTCTGAAGTTTAAATGGACAGGCAAAAGATCCAGAATAGCCAATATAATATTGAAGGAGAAGAACAGAGTTGGAGAACTGACACTACCAACTTCAGGACTTACTAGAAGCCATAGAAATCAAGACAGTGTGTTACTGGCAAAACAATAGACAAAGAAGTCAATGGGACAGAATATGGAGCCCAGAAATAGACCCACATAAATGTAGTCAAGTGATCTTTGACAAAGGCACAAAGCCAATACAATGAAGCAAAAATAGTCTTTTCAACAAATGGTGTTGGGACAAGTGGACATCTGCATACCAAAGGGGGAAATAATGAATCTAGACATAGACCTTACATCCTTCACAAAAAGGAACTGAAAATGGATAATAGACCTAAATATAAAACACAAAACTATAAAACTCCTAGGAGATAGCATAGGAGAAAACCCAGATGACCTTGGGTTTGGTGATGACCTTTCAGATACAACATCAATGAGCTGGAACTCATTAAAATTTAAAACTTTTCTCTACAAAAGACAGCACCTAGAGAATGAGAACAAGCCACAGACTGGAAAAAAATATTTGCAAAAGATGTCTGATAAAGGACTCATCCAAAATATACAATGAACTTTTAAAATTCAACAATAAGATGATGAAAAACTCAATTAAAACATGGCCAAAGGGGCACCTGGGTGGCTCAGGTGACTCTTGATTTCTGCTCAGGTCATAATCTCAGGGTCATGAGATTGAGCCTCATTTCAGGCTCTGCGCTCAGCAGGGGTCTGCTGGAGAGTCTCTACTCTCCCTCTGCCCCTCCCCCCATGCTCTCTCTCTCTCTCAAATAAATAAATGAATCTTTAAAAAAAAAAAAATGGACAAAGACCTGAGCAGACACCTAACAAAGAAGACATACAGATGGCAAGTGAGTTTATAAAAAGGATGTTCATCAATATAATGTCATTAGGGAATTGTAAATTAAAATAACAATGAGATGCCTCTCCATACCTATTAAAATGGCCAAAATCTAAAACACTAAGGACATCAAATGTTGGTGAGGATGTGGAGCAATAGGAACTCTCATTCATCGCTGGTGGGAATGCAAAATAATACAGCCACTTTGGAAGACAGTGTGAAAAGTTTCTTATAAAACTAAAGACACTCTCACCTTTCAGTTCACCAGTTGCACTCCTTGCAGCTTGCCCGAATGAGTTGAAAACTTATGTCCACACAAAAACCTATACATGAATGTTTCTAGCAGCTTTATTAATTAACTGCCAAAACTTGGAAGCAACCAGGTTGTCCTTCAGGAAGTGAATGGATATTCATGGTACATCCAGAAAGTTAAATATTGTTCAACACTAAAAAGAGACAAGCTATCAAGCCATGAAAAGACATGGGGAAACCTTAAATATATATTACTAAGTGAAGGAAGCCAACCTGAAAAGACTATATACTGTATGATTCTAACTATATGACATTCGGAAAAGGCAAAACTACAGAGACAGTAGAAGCATCAGTGGTGACTAGGGTTTAGGGGGAAGGGAGGGATGAATGGGTGGAGCACAGAGGATTTTTAGGGCAGTGAAACAACTCTGTATGACACAACACCAAGAGTGAACCCCAATGTAATCTGTGTCATTGTCAGTTCATTGCTTTATAACAAATAAACACTCTGGTCTGGAATTTTAATAGTGGCTAAAAAAATAAAAATAAATCATCTTGCAGTCACATCATACATTTATAATCTCCTTCCTTTTCTTCTTTTTTCTCCTCATTCCTCTTTCACTTCTGTCCTCCCTCCATCTTCTTATTTTCTCATTGTCCCTTTATTGCTTTGCTAAACAAAAAGAGGGAAGAAGAATGGATGGATGGGTCAGTGAGTGGATTTGACATCATGACATATTTTTCTTAAGAGTATGAGGTTAGACTGTTGTTAAAAGAAAGGCAATCATCCTCTAAGCAAATATTTTTCATACATATGTTATCCACTTTTAAGCAAATGATAATTTATGTTCCATTAAGATCGGCTCACTCATTACTCTGAAACTTGAAAGTCACTATTTTATCTATCTTTACCAAGCACGATTTTTATTCACTCTTTCTATCCAAACTCAGAGTAGATGTCTATGTATATATGAGTCAAGTGCTTTTCAGTCTACAAATTAATGAGGTACCCATCCAAAGAACAATCTTTGTAAATTAAAACATTTCAACACAGAAACAAAAAAGGAAATCTCGTAATCGCATGCAACCATAAAATAAAGTTAAAAGCCACTTGGAATACTTAGGTAATTGACAAATAGTTGCAAAGATCCTTTCCCCCTATAATATTCATATATTACTACAAAGACTTTTTCACATTGATATTTGGTTCAGGGAATCTTTGTGCTCTTCTCTCTTGTAGTATCACTTAGGATATTCTAAGTGACCTATTATTACATTTAATTACACAGTATAATTTGTAAAGAGTTTTTCTTCAAGTGTTACTTAAAAAATCTCAGTATAGGTTGCCCTTTCCTCTACCTCTTAACTTTCTCCTATATTAAAACTAAATGTTCCTTCATTCTGTCAATTTAGTGTGAAGAGCCAGAAGGACTTGAGCACATTCATTTTAGCACCAAAGTGTGGCTAGAAATTCTCATAGAAAAGAGAACATCTTTATTGAAAGACATGGCCCCAGTTCTTCTTGGTAATCTTTGGCAATTCTTTGCAACCATTCTGGTTCAAAAGAGGAATTGGCTTTCCCTAAGAGTATTGTTTGTTAATATCAGGTGTTCAAATAATTCTTCATACCAAAGAATGCTATCCCATTACATTTGCACATTTCTGTTCCGTGTAGGTTTGTGCAACCAGCTCCAACTTGATAAACATTGACGCATTAAAGAAACTTTGAAATAGCATGATATAGAAATCAATGACCTATTTTACCTACTTTTTTCACCTTATTTCTCATGACAATATTTACAAAGCCAAAAAGACACTTTAGAGGCACATCAACCAATGCCATGTGTGGATATTATTTGGCTCTTGATTCATCTATTGGAAAAACAAAAACAAAACAAAAAAAATGAGAGTGCCACTGTGCCCTCCCATATCACCCAGCTTCAACATTTCATTAGCATGTGTCCAGTCTTATTTCATTTGTACCCCTAGGCATGGCACTGCACACACACATGATTAATTTAAAAACAATATCATACATCATATATTTTATCCATAAGTATTTTAGGATGTACCTCTTAAACAAGGCATTGTAGTTTTTTATTTTTTATTTATTTTTTTCCTCCAAATTTTTATTTAAATTCTAGTTAGTTAACATATAGCACAATATTAATTTCAGGGGTAGAATTTAGTGATTCATCACTTGCATAAAACACCCACTGTTCATCATAACAAGTGCCCACCTTCATACCCATCCCCATTTAGTCCATCCCCCACCCACCTCCCTTCATCAATCCTCAGTTTGTTCTGTCATTAAGTCTCATATGTTTTGCTCCCCTCTCTTTTTCCCTCCCATATGTTCATCTGTTTTGTTTCCTAAATTCCGCATATGAGTGAAATCATATGGTATTTGTCTTTCTCTGACAGTTTTTTACTTCACTTAGCTTAATACTTTCTAGCTCTATCCACATCATTGCAAATGGCAAGATTTCATCCTTTTTGATGGCTGAGTAATATTCCATTGTTATATTTATACCACCTCTTCTTTATCCACTCATCTGTTGATGGACATCTGGGCTCTCTCCATAATTTGGCTATTGTTGATAATGCTGCTATAAACATTGGGATGTACGTGCCCCTTTGAATCAGTATTTTTGTATCCTTTAGGTAGATACCTAGTAGTACAATTGCTGGGTCATAAGATAGTTCTATTTTTAAGTTTTTTGAGGAAGCTCCATACTGTTTTCCAGAGTGGCTGTACCACTTTTCATTCCCACCAACAGTGTAAGAGGTTTCCCTTTTCTCTGCATCCTTGCCAACATCTGTTATTTCCTGTGTTGTTAATTTTAGCCATTTTGACCGGTGTGAAGTGGTATCTCATTGTGGTTTTGATTTGTATTTCCCTGATGTTGAGCAGTGTTGAGCATCTTTTCATATAGACACTCTGTTTTTTAAAATATAACCATTATCACACACCCACATGCACACACACACCCACATGCACTCATACACACCCTAAAAATTAGCTAATCACTTAAATAACCAGTCAGTGTTAAGGCCACACCAGTTTTCTCTCATTTTTTTTGTTTGTTTTTGTTTTTCCAATGGATGAATCAAGAGCCAAATAATATCCACACATGGCATTGGTTGATGTGCCTCTAAAGTGTCTAATGATCTATAGCTTTCCCTTTTCCTCTTTTTTTCTCACCATCTGTTGTTGATGAAACCATACCATTTATCCATTGAATTCTTATATTTTGGGTTTTGCTAATGGTATCCTCACTGTGTCATTCACCAAGCTCCTCTAATCTGCATTTTCTGAAAACCAGTAGTTAGATTGAGAGGCTTGATCTAGTTTAGGTTTGCTTTTTTTTTTTTTTTTTTTGGCAAGAACACTGGTGCTGTCCTTCCCATCTCAGAGGAAGCGTGTGGTAGTCACTTGTAATCTTTGGTCTTTATGAAATCAGTACACTACAGTTGTCCATGCTCAGAACTATTTTCCATGCCTCAGTTGTCCTGCATGTGTCAGTCTTTAGTTCCTGTCTTCAAAGAACTGTTAATTCTGTCAGAGCCAAGACAACTCAACAAGGAATTACAGGCCACTGTCACAACTCCAGGGATAGTCACAAACTACCTTTGCAGTTACCAGAGGACATGACTTCCAAAGCAGTGTTTCCAAAACCTGTATGGCTGACCTTTGAAATTATCTTGAAAAAATACAGATTTTCAGACTTTGTTCCAGTACATTTTTATTCAGCAGAACAAGAGTGGGACCCACGAAGGATGAGAGTGGTAAAGAGGTAGACAGGGAAGGAAAGCCAGATCCCAAAGCCATCTCCATGACTTTGGACCGATCCGGGAGACAGTGGAGGAGCCAGTGGAGTGTTTTAAGTGGAGGACTAGAAGGATGAGTGGGTGGGAGCAGGGGAGATAGGGGGCAGGAAGGGCAATAACCAGGCTGTTGCTGTCTTCCAATAAGATACAGCTGTGGCCTGAAAGACAAGGTGATGGCACTTGGGATGGAGAAAAGTGGATGGATAGATATACAAGAAGTAGAATCAGCATGGCTTGTCACGCCATTGAATAAGAGCTGAGGGTGGTAATGAAAGTTGTATGGCTGGCCAAGACCTGGTCCTCAGTCTTCACAGTGAAATCTGGTATTAAGTATATTTGTGAATTTTACATTTCTACATGTAACTCATGGTATCAAAATAGTGTTTTGTTTTTTTACAGCTTCACTAATTTGGGGTTTGAAAACAGGAGTAATTGGGGTTCTCCAGAGAAACAAAACCGATAGAGAGAGAGAGAGAGAGAGAGAGAGAGAGAGACAGAGAGAGAGAGAGAGAGAGAGAGAGAGAGAGAGTGTGTGTGTGTGTGTGTGTGTGTGTGTGTGTGTGTGTGTTGTAAAGAGATTTATTATAAGGAGTGGCTTACATGATAATAGAGGCTGAGAAATCTCCTGATCTGCAGTTAGCAAGGTGCAGACTGGGGATAGCCAATGGTGTGGTTCCATTCTGAGCCCAAAGGCCTGAGCACCCTGAGAGCTGATGGTGTAAATTCCATGCAAAAAGCCAGCAGTCTTGAAACCTGCCCAGAGCTGAACTTTTTATTCACTGCCAGCGGCAAGAAAATATCAGTGTCCCAGTTCAGTTCAGCCAGGCCAGAGTTCCTTGAAGGGTCGGGCTTTTTTGGTTCTGTGCAGGCCTTCAACTGATTGCCTGATGCTACCTTCATTAGGGAGGACAGTATCTGCTTTACTCAGTCTATTGACTCAAATGTTCCTCTCACCCCAAAACACCCTCCCGGATAAACCACAATGTTTGACTAAATATCTGGGCAGTCAAATTGAGGCATAAGATTAACTGTGACACATGAAAAAGTGCTCAACATCGTTTGGCACCAGGGAAATCCAAATCAAAACCTCAGTGAGATACCACCTCACACCAGTCAGGATGGCTAAAATTAACAAGTCAGGAAACGACAGATGTTGGCCAGGATGGGGAGAATGGGAACCCTCCTGCACTGTTGGTGGAAATGCAAGCTGGTGCAGCCACTCTGGAAAACAGTATGGAGGTTCCTCAAAAAGTTGAAAATAGAGCTACCCTACGACCCAGCAATTGCACTACTGGGTATTTACCCCAAAGATACAAATGTAGGGATCCGAAGGGGTACGTGCACCCCAATGTTTATAGCAGCAATGTCCACAATAGCCAAACTGTGGAAAGAGCCCAGATGTCCATCAACAGATGAATAGATAAAGAAGATGTGGAATAGATATACAATGGAATATTATGCAGCCATCAAAAATACGAAATCTTGCCATTTGCAATGACGTGGATGGAACTGGAGGGTGTTATGCTGAGCGAAATAAGTCAATCAGAGAAAGACATGTATCATATGATCTCACTGATACGAGGAATTCTTAATCCCAGGAAACAAACGGAGGGTTGCTGAAGTGGTGGGAAGTGGGAGGGATGGGGTGGCTGGGTGATAGACATTGGGGAGGGTGTGTGCTATGGTGAGCGCTGTGAATTGTGTAAGACTGATGAATCACAGACCTGTACCACTGAAACAAATAATACATTATATGTTAAAAAAAAAAAAAGATAGTAGGAAGGGACAAATGAAGGGGGGAATCGGAGGGGGAGACGAACCATGAGAAACTGTGGACTCTGAGAAACAAACTGAGGGTTCTAAAGGGGAGGGGTTGGGGGGATGGGTTAGCCTGGTGATGGGTATTAAAGAGGGCACATACTGAATGGAGCACTGGGTGTTATATGCAAACAATGAATCATGCAACACTACATCAAAAACTAATGATGTAATGTATGGTGACTAACATAACATAATAAAATAAAATTAAAAAAAAAAAAGGTTATCTGTGACAGAAGCCATTCTGCTCACCCCAGATACAGGTGTAGTGGTAATTTTACCATTTGTTGGGCTTTTGATATTCTAATATCAATCCCAACTACAGTCCCACCTCACGTGCCATCCTAGCAGTAAATCAGTAACATCTGTCATTTCTCCAGCTCCCTTGCTCATTTACAAGGTGTTTGGGGCTTGACAAATTCCTAACAGAGATTCTCCAGCTCTTTCCTGTTTATGAAATAGCATCAGATGAAAGTAACGCAGCACAGCTCAAGATGGCAGGCTTAAGAGCTGTGCACGCTCTGTTCGTGGAGTTCAGTATAGAACATTTTTCATTTCCCTGGTTACTTTTAAAAGCAAAATGAAATGAAGCCTGAACATTGCAGTGCTAAACAGCTGGAGGGTTGTTCCTACTCTCCTTCTAGATACAGCGAGTCATCGCTATTTGTTTTCTTTTATTAAATGTCTCATTGCCTCTGAAACAGAAGTAGATATTACAGTTGGCATGGACCACAGGAGCCTGCAGCATCAGCTCACTTCTCTGTCGCCCATACCTGGAGCTAGCTTGCCTGCTTGTTTGGAGACAGATGTCAGCTTCAAGTTGCTGTTGACCTTATTGTTTACTCTGCTTAATTAAACATCATTTTAATATTTTCTCATCTGCCACCCCTTACAGTTTACATTCATGCTGGGGCACAACACGGGGGAGAAGGAAAGGTCTTTTAAGCTGGAGCACTTAATTAGCTCCCAGGCCCCAGGGGGAAGCATCAGATAGAAATACAGCTAAAAGTAAGGTAAAGAGTAGCCGTACCTGAGAGACAGCCCTTGAAGATCAAGAAAACATTGACCATCTTCTGACGAGGCCCATGTTACTAAAATTGTTTTGGGGGGGCAGCGCCTGGCTGTCTCAGTTGGTTAAGCATCTACCTTCGGCTCAGGTCATGATCTCAGGGTCCTGGGATCGAGCCACACATCAGGCTCCCTGCTCAGCTAGGAGTTTGCTGCTTCTCCTCCCTCTGCCCCTCCCACCCCACTCATGCTCTTTTTCTCTCTCTCTCTCTCACTCTCTCTCTCTCAAATAAATAAATCTTTTTTAAAAATTGTTTTGGAATTAATGACTATTTTGAATCATGTATATGATAGTGACATGTTTGTATTGTTAATTTCTGCTAGTACCCCTGTTTATTCAGGTACCCTTGCTGATGTCTGCCCGAGGCTGTTTTTCTTTTCTTTTTTTAAAAGATTTTATTTATTTATTTGACAGAGAGACACAGCCAGAGAGGGAACACAAGCAGAGGGATTGGGAGAGGAAGAAGCAGGCTTCCCACAGAGGAGGGAGCCCGACGCAGGGCTCAATCCCAGGACCCTGGGATCATGACCTGAGCAGAAGGCAGATGCTTAACGACTGAACCACCCAGGCGCCCCCCAAGGCTGTTTTTCTTTTGCCTCAGTGTATACATCATCCTGGGTGTAAATAAAAGAATGGCCCCACAGTGAGGTTCTTAGTCCCTTCCTGGCACTGTCAGGTGACCACATTGTCATTTAGCGCCCCCTGACTGTGTTGTTTTAAATGCAGTCACCATCTTGTTAAGACTCAACTGGAGGAGGAAATTTCTCATACAATGAGGTATTATTATAAAATAAGAGAGTAAGCCATGATGTAAGATATCGTTACATAGATTTAATTATAGGTTATATTATACAGATATAGTCATAGTTATATAGGTATAATATAGAAATAAGGTCTAGATGTATATGGAGATGTCAGTTACAGATATAATTCAATACTGTATATAGATATATAGGAGTATTATAATAGAATAAAAGAAAAATCCATTCTTGTTGTGAAAACATAAAACACAGGACTTCCTGGAAATAATGGTAGCCATTCTGGCTCATTGCTGTGGAGCTGCCACAGTCCAGCCCCGTGGATGTTGGCTAAGAGGTGGGGCAAGCCGGGAGCTCGTGGGGTAGCTCTTTATCTTCTGAATGCTCTGGATTCCTTTTGACCATGAACTCACTTAGGCCTGTGCGTGAGCCACAGTCACTTCTGTCTTATAGCCTAAGGTGGCAATAAAACTTGCATTTTAAATCCGTTAAAAATGCTTGTTTATCAAACACCACTCCCCCCATTACCCTGCTCCCCAGGGTGGTCAGCAGGCACCACTGAGTGAAGAGCTTCCCTCTTCACAGCTAAAGCTGGGATCCCCCTTAATCACCACCAGCCCCAGTCCCGTCCCACAGCTGTTGTGTGTCCCCTTGACCCTCCCGTGATTCTGGCCATGGCTGTGGAGAACAGCCCCACTGTGTGCCGCGGTGCCTCGGGCTCTCTCCCCATTTCTCCCTTCAGGCTGCAGCCCACAGGTTGGACAGAGGTGTGGGGCCTGCAGGTGCCTCCCAAAGTGAGACACAAAATAGGGATAAATGTGCCTGCTTCCCATCCTTAGGGATGACTCAGAAGCACATTCTACACGTTTCTCAGAGGGTCCCCAGTGGGACCGAGTGCTGCCCTGGATATAGTAACCTGAGTATGGACAGCCCTGTACTACCTACCTCCTTTCTCCACGCTCGCTTTTTCACCCCTTTGTCTCTGTGACCAAGATCATCCAAAAATAATCTCCCTCCATCTTTGCTTTCACGGGATCAAACAGAGGCACTGCCCAGAGGTAATTGCTCTTCTGGTTGGACCTATATCCCTTCTAAGCATTTTTCCAATGAGAGAAAGAGAGAAATTTTAAAACTTTTTTTTTAAAATCAGTGTCAGTTATGGATATGCCCAAAGAGTTCTACTAGGCTTTTTTGGAAAGCAGTCCTCTGCCTTTGGGCATACCTTACATTCCCTTTTCCCCAGCAGAACCCTCGTGATACCCTTTGGTATTTTCCTACAGACTAAAATTGAATTCCTGGATTGCTTCCTTCTGATTTTTGTTTGAATGTAAGGTGCTATCTATTAACATCCCACTGTGGGTGGTGGTTCCCTAACACCCACCTCCACCCCGCCACCTTCCTAAAAGATGTGGGGACACAGCCACCCCTGTTCCACCTGCCCAGCAGGGTGTCAGGACTGTATAAGAGCAGCTCGTGTCTTTGCTCAGGTTATTATGTATCCATAACTTACCTCAGCTTCAGATGCTTGGTCAGTTGTACGAATCTTCTGGAAGCTTATTCCTCTAGTCAGAGTGAGCCACAGGTACTCTGGTCTTCCATCTCTGTCATCCTTTGCTCTCTCTTGAATTGTTTCCCCTGCTTCCTGTGCCTCATGTTTTCCTTTCTCGATTGACTCCCTGACTGTGATGGAGCACGTCTCTAGTAGCTTCCTGAAAGAGCATATGGGAGAGGTAAATTTCTAGAGACATTTATGAACATGTCCTTCTTCACCCACACACTGGCTGGGTATATATGTTAGTTGAAAACCATCTTAAAGAATTTCAAGGGGATTGCTTCATTGTTTTCTACTCCCAGTGCTGCTGCGAAGCTGTTCAAAGCCATTTTGATTCTTGGTCCTTTGTGTGTGACATAATACTTATGTCACCCCTACCAAAAGCTTATAGGGCCTTCCTCTGTCCCCAGGGTTCTGAGTGTTCATGGTTCCATTTTGGTGAGCAGCCCCTCCGTTCTGCAAGGACACTCCACGTGCATTCTCTCTCTCACATCCTTCATTTCTAGGCGATTTTCGAGATGATTTCTCCTGTTGTTTCTTTCTGGAATCCCATTTGTTTGTGTTGAATCCCCTGGTCCAGTCCTCCTTAATTTTCCTGTCTCCTCTTTTTTCCATTTCTTTCTGTCTCTCTCTCTCTCCTACCACCCCCCCCTTCAGTTTGTCCTTCTCCAAAAAGTGTTTGAGAAGCACTGTGCAATGTGATCCACCTCACCTCATTCTTCCTTCCCTTGTTTTAACATTGTGCTTGTTACTTTTGTATCTCCTAGTGGTGTTACAAACCTAAAGGCCTAGCCTCTTACTTCCTGAACTAATCGGTTATATTTATTTCTATTGACTTCTGTACAGTTCCTCTTCATACATTCCCTCTGTTGCAACAGCCTGAAAGACATATGCAAAATTCTTCTTGTGCATCTGCATATTTGAAGAACCATTTTCTCTGTCCAGTCTCTCCTAATGCTCTGCTCACTGTTTACATCAACATTTGGGAATCATCCTTTCTCTTTTATAAATTTGAATTAGACTTTCTCAAAGATGCTTCAGTTCCCTTAGCTCCATTTATTTAGATTTGTTTTCCCAGTAAATTGTGCCTTTTTTTGAGGGGGGGAGGGGGAAAGAGAGGGGCAGATGGGGGAGGGGCAGAGGGAGAGGGAGACTCTTAAGCAGCCTCCACCCACCTCCAGCACAGAGCCCAACTCAGGGCTTGATTCTAGGACCCTGAGATCATGACCTAAGCCGAAATCAAGAGTCGGATACTTAACCGGCTGAGCCACCCAGGCGCCCTGTAATTTGTGCTTTTCCTAAAGGTACTCACTGTGGCCTTTGCCAACGAACCCCTGTACTGTCCTTTCACTGCTTTTGAAAACTGCATTTTTATTTTAGAATTCAGGTAGTGACTTTTTTTCCTTTGACGATCCCTTTTTTTTTTTTCCTGTATGTGTCACTTATATTTCATAGCAGTAATGAATTATAGCATATGTTGCAGCCCTTTGAAACAATATTTGGGAGAAAGAAATGGGTAAGAACATGAGTTTGTTCCAATTTCGCACAACTTCTTGTCTTCATTGTTTGCCTGTCTAAAGCTCCCATCCATTTTTAGATAGACTCATTTCTGTTCCCGGGAATTCACTGCAATGCGGTTACATTTACATATATTCATTCCAGGCAACCAAAAAAAAAAAAAAACCCAAACTGAGCTTTGTCTAATTTGTTTCCTAATTGAGATCACCTGTTTCATATTATTTATAAATAAAATTGGGAAAGTGATGCCAAAATCAGGAAAGCAGTTGTTAATCAGAGTTGAAAATGGCAGTCAATGACGCTGTCACCTTTTTCTCAGTGGATTTTGTAGCTGACTGGAAGCAAAGCCTCAGTGGATTGCAGGGTTTTTATTTCAGAGCTCTGTGGATAAGTGCTAATGAGCAGCAAGAAGACCGTCTGCTCCAACCATCTCCATAGGCTGGGATTTCTGTGCTTTTCGGTATCTGTTGCTGCTGATTCACCTTTTCTTTTCCATTTATAGTGCTTATCTTCCAGTTGCCAAAACTGCCTTTATTTGCAGTTTCTGACTCGAAAGAATCTGGGCATATCCAAGTAATAGCTCAGTCAGTACAAACTGACATTTCTTATTTTGCAAGGTAGTTTCCTCGGGGCAGAAACTGGATGTCAAATTAGCCCAAATGAGCCCATTATTTCTTAGATTAAATGGTCCCATAGTTTTCTCCAAGATCTCCCAGCTGGAGCAATTTCCCTTTGATCTGTGAGATCTTTCCACGTTTTGCCAGTCCTCCGTTTTAACTCCTACCGCACTGCTTTCAGAGCCTCTCAGCTGAGAACCATCTCGAGCGCTCAAGGTGTTGACAACTCAAAGGCTGGTGCTTACATGGGTTCAGGTTCATTTGGCAGTGACCGGAGCCAGACAGGGGGACACAAGGACACCCTGCTTAATCCACTGCCAAACCAGCAACATTCCCACCTTCTCTTCTGCAGCACCTTCTCAGTTTGAAGAGTTTCTCAGGTTTGGCTTTGGAGCATAAATTAAGATTTGATCGACTTCTTCCCTCTAGTGATTTAGTAAACTTCTCTCATCAGAGAGAAGCTACTATATAAATCTGTGAAATTTTGCTGCAAGGGAAGGTCCTAAGGAGAGAAAAGCCAGGCTTCTCACTGTTCATTAGGACTTATTAACATTATTTAATATTCATTGTATCAAGCACCTGACAGAGAGTCTTTTCTGAGCAAAGTGCTGTGCAGGAGGTACATGTTTTCAGTGTGTATCTTTATTAATTAGATGCTTCAGTGTGTGGTTGATATCTGGTGAAGGAATTTTTAAAAATCCACAACTGTCCCATCCTTTTTTAGAATTAGAGAGGTTATATTGGAGAAGTTTTGGTCTGGCTTTTCTCCCTGCCTTCCCCTTTCCCCAGCATAGGCAAGCCTCCATCATTATCCCCAGTGAAGGGGATCATTGGTGCGGATAATCCAAATCCCCAGCTAATCCTCTCTGTAGGGTGGGGTCACAGGCCCACCACTCAGGGCCATAGGCCTCATCACACCTGTGGCATGACCATGGCTCCCTCCTGGGACATAGGGCAATGTGTGGACACTGAGGAATAACTCCCAGGGCAGGAGGATAATCTGCAAGGCAAATAGTCCCACAGGGATCATCAGGAGCCCCTAGTCCAGAGAACAAAAAAGGGGCAGTGGGTCTTCCCTCCTAGGCTCAAAGAGCTGACCCTCTTGCCCTGGAATTCAGGGACTCATTTGTATTCGGTGATGGTCCAGTCCAAGGCCAGCCTGAGAAAACTTGCCATCAATATATAAGTGACCTCAGGTTAGACATTAAAGGGCAGGATGGTTCTGCTCAACCCCAGGCACAGGCGGTAAAAAGGAATAAGACAGTTATTCAGGGTTCCTGAAGCATCACACTGCATCCAAGTGCTTGGCTCCTACTCAGAGGGAGACTTTGGGAGACCAGTAATTAATATGCAACTACTCCTTGATTCTTAAGCTTTTGGGGACCTAATTCTTTGAATTTGAGTTTAAGTACATTATAGCCAAGACGGGTACCATACAGCAAGATTCTTTCTCATTTGAAAGTCTGTCAGTCAAATTGGTCATTTGGAGCAGTCTTTCAGTCTCAGAATGTCAGGAACCTCTTGGAAGGTTTATACAGGGCAAGAAGGAATTGTGAGCTGAGAAACAAAGAATAGTTCTTTTTTCCCCCAGATGGCATTTTCCAGAATCTTTGTATCCAAAATGTATCTTACAGTGAGCTTTGGGGACATCATTAATTTACCTGGTGTAGCCTAGATTTTTAAACTTATGGTTACGATTCCCCATTTTTGAAAAACCCATTAACTCTTCCTTACTTTAAAGCAGTTTTTGAAATGAAGGGTCTGCCGTATCTGATACGAGGTGACTTTGGAAAGAAGCCATTCAGACTTGCTGTCTTCCACTTTCCTTTGAAGGGGAAAACATTAAAGCATTAAATACTTCCACATTTTAAGCCCACGTGTCTCTAAACATCTAAAAGGGAAGAAAATGAATATATTTGCAGATTAACTGTGTGAGGATAAGGCTGTATAGACAATAATGTCACCTACTTAAATGCATGCTGTGAATTGGGCCCTGCCTCAAGCACCTCACGGACACAGCTCATTTCATCTTCTGATCTGAAAAGGGATCTAATCAGATGAAGAAACAGGTGCAGAGGAGTTCAGGGACTTAATCTGGACCCCAGTGCTGTAACGTCCCTGTGCCCAGTGTGGTGGCTGCTGCATGAGTGGGTATCTCAGGATGTGGCTCGCAATGCGAGGTTTGGACTCCAGCAGTCGTGTGGCCTACACGGCTAGCTGAGCCTCTGGGCTGCTCTCCCATCCTCCCCACCCAGATGCTGAGCCAGCTGAGTTGCTTTGCCTCTATGTGGAGCTGTTACCCGTCTCTTAACCCAAATCCAGTAAACAAAAGTCAAAGAACCAGGGCGAACCCTGGAAACTACACTTCTCCCACAGAGTACATCCTCCCATATTTTGCTTCAGCTGAGTAAGGTTGAGAGTGGGTCCTGTCAGAACTTCTGGAAGTGGTTGGCTTGCTTCCTTATAGCTGCGATGCCGTTGCTTGCAGCTCAAGATGCAGCCTCAGCTCCTTCCCTCCATGAGCCCAAAAGAAGGGCCTGGTATTGACTTGGGTTTTGGAGAAGAGCTCAACCAGCTTCACAGTCTGAGCAGATTTAGGGCTTTCTATGTGGCCTTTTTGTGGGTCCTCCCCCTCAGCTTGCTGGTCTACCAGGCTGGTCGGTCACGATTACTAAAGCTATGCTCAGTACCCCAAGCAGGAATACCAACCTATAAAAATTGAATATCACATGACTTTAAATGCACATTCCTTATAAAATTTTTAAAGCTCGCTGGATTTTATTAGAATATGTGAGCCAGACTGAGTATATTAAATTTATGAGTCGAATTGATGCAGTACCATAATAATTCAATACAATATGCTTATGTCATTAAGCTCATAAAGAAGAGTCTCTGAATAGCTGTAATGAATAGTTCCGATTCTGTAATCACAGACTAACATTTTCACCCTGATGAATTTTAACTGGGAGCTCTCAGAATTCTCTGTAAAATCAAGAAAGAAATGCCATATTTTAAATGATGACTACTTATTTCAAGTATTTACTTTAAACCTAGGATGGATAGAAAAGTACCTGCTAAGACAGAATTATTCATTAGAAATACTAAAGAGGTTGGAAGAGGTTAGCATGAAGTAGAATAGGACTGTAATTTATGGCTAGTCATAAATTATAAATAAAAACCAAAGAGACTTCTCTGCTTTGACTAATTTCATTGACTTCCTCATCTCTTACCTTCTTCCCACACACACAGATTTTGGTTATCTATCACCATGTAATAAACTACCCCAAAATTTAACTTCCTTTAAGTAATTACCATTTTGTTGCTTATGATGCTAGGGTTCTGGAATTTGGGCAGGGCTCCACGGAGTGGTTCATCTTTTCCAAGTGTCAGGTATCCGGTCAGGCCACTTACATGGCTGCATTCTGATCATGGCACCACTAAGGACTGGGCCCGGCTGGGGCTCTGGAGCCTGCCAGGTGACTTCTTCACTGTCAGCTTTACCTCCAGTGTGTTCTCTTGGTGAAAACAAAGCACAGCCTCCACCCAGAGGGCCTGACAGGATCCAGGGATCAGAGAGAAGAGACACTGCTGGAGCACAGTGCAGGACCCCCAGTGTGAGTACCAGTAGAGAGCCAATCTGGCGAGCAGTACATTCCAGAAGTGTGTCCCCCACACTACATGGGCCCCATATATGCATGTAGTACAGTCATGTGGACTCTTGGGGAGACGCCAAGTTATGCATCCTCACTATGACGCTTTGCACATGCTTTCCCCACTGCCTGGAATAGGCTTCCTTCAAGTATCTTCTGCCAATATTTTCTCCAGTCTGATTCTTACTCATCCCTCACCTCTTGGCATAAGTGTCACCAGTTCCCAGAACTAGGCTGGGTGCCTTTTCTATGTGCTCCAATAGCATCTCATTCCTGTTTAGAATATATAGCCTTATTTTAATCAGTGCTTTACCTATCCAACTCCCTGGAATGCCTACACATTACTCAGGGCAGGAACTGATCTTATTACTGAATTCTCAGCAGCACTGGCATGTAGAAAGCTCTCAACAAATATTTGTTCGGTGCTGCATGAAGTTTCAAGAGAGAAAAACCAACAAAGAACAAACCTTTTCCAGTCCTTAGAAGACAAGTAGGATTTAGATGAATGATTCTGAACAATGAAAACATGATGCAGGGCATCCCAGGCTCTGTGTCTGTTTTATTCAACATTGGACACCCAGTGCCTGGCCCACTGCTCCTTGTAGAGCAGGTGTGTGGTAACTGTGGTGGATGGATGAGTTGCTTGAATCAAACTGTCCTAATTTCATCAGAGTCTGGAGGACATTTAGGGGCATGTCAAGAAAGGAACCCAGTATTTTTGATCCAGTGGAGACAAATTTTAGGATTCCCAAATAGCCAGGGAGAGGGTGTCAACTAGAATTTATGACAGTTTGAAACCAGGAAGCCTTGAGTGAGTGAATATTGACCCTACTGGGTTGATTCATGACCCATGGCCAGTGGTAACCAGACCTCTCTCAGATCTAGAAATATCCCAGCATGTCCCCATCCTGGCTTGATCTGTCTTCAGAGCCCATCAGTCGAGGATGAATTTTCTAAGGGCTGCAAGGTAAATGAAACCCTAAATCTTAGTAGACTGATCGTTGTCTTTAAGATGCCACCGTGGCCACCAATGGCTTCTGGAAATGAGGAATTCCAGCAAACTGTCTTCCCCATTAATATGTCACAGTGGAAAGGTGGATAAGGCCCTACTACATTTTTAAAGCACATTTTAGTAATTTCACTAACTTTAGATTATGAATGTATGTTAAAATTTTGTGACATGAAGGGGCTCTACAACAATGAGATGGCTGGGGAAATCAGGAGGCTGGGCAGTACGTGGCCATGAAGTACGCGGCAGGCTGCAGTTACAGTCATGAGCCTGTATGACTCTACTATATAGGCTCACATGTAAACCTGTATTATAGAGTCTTATGTTTTAGAATATAGACTATTCTAGAGTCTACAATAATAGACTACAAGCCCTAGTAAAGCAAGCTTTTTAGCAACCTAAAATAGTCATTACTTTATCTCCCTGGTAATTAAAATAGAAGGAAAGGAGCCAAAAAAATAAGAAGGTAAGGTCTTTTGAATGCTTCTGAGGCCCTACTCTCATTCCTGTGTGTTCTCTACACACACACACACACACACACACACACACACACACACACACACAGGCAAATTCTGAGGGCCCCTGTGAGCCTGGGCTCAAAAGACAAGGGCTGCGTTTACATTTACTCCTTACATTTCCAGCTTAAGGGATTATACCTTGTGAATTATATTAGGCCATCTGACTTTCTCCTGAGTTTGAAGAGCCAGTCGTTTGTCATCCTCTGTGGTCTGTTGATGTGGGCTAAGTCACCGGCTCTTGGGGGTCTCAGTTTCCTCATCTGTAAACAGGATATGCATACCTTGTCTTCCTCCTCCTCAGCATGTTATAGGGGTCACGTGAGCTCATGAACTGGGAAGTGCTTTGAACAGAGTGCCTGCAGACCCAAATCCAGGTGCAGGGCCCTCCACGTTCCCCTTCAAGTCCTGCTGTTCCCCACACAGAGCCCTGCACATGCCAGCCTGGCTCCCTTGGTTCACACTGTTTGCCGAACGTGGATGCCACTCCATCTTCCCTCCTTTCTAGACCCCAGACCTGAAAGGAAATGGCTGCAAGATGGCAGGGGCCGCACTATTTAACTTCCTGCTCATCTCCCAGGTCTTTGCCCGGATGGACTGTAGAGCACATGGTCAATCCCAGTGACCCGACGAGCATGTCATCCAGAAGCTCCAGACTTGAAAAGAACAGCCCCGCAGAGGCTGTCTTAAGGCCGCTTTTAGTTAGGTTGTTCCAGTAATTTAAGTACTTTCAGCTAGAGCAGAGACTGAAATTGTATTGTAGGTCACACGTGGATCATGTTAACAGAATGACCTTCATCAAGAATGAAATAAAAATGAAAATGGCGTGTAGCAGCACCTTATATTTTCAATTTTTTCTTCCTGATGCAGTGTATTGATTGAGGTACCAGGCTGAAGCTTTAAAATAATTGACTAAATTCATGCTGAATTGCCCTGTATTGCTGTAGGGAACGTGTTTCACCTTTCAGAACTCATTAACACAGCCAATAGACCATATTAGCCTATGTTTTGGTTCAAAAGATTAATAATGTTTAGTTGTTTTGAAATGGTGTTGGAATTTTGAAGATTGGCCTGTGTGTATATCAGGGTTTGGGGCAGGAACTTTCCAGGTTAACCCTTGGCTGGGGATGTACCATGAGGATGCACTGACCCATCTGAAATGTTATTCACTAAAGCCTCCCTAGATGGACCTTTTCCTAAGAGTGGGGTGCCCTGGGCAGATCTTGATCTGACTACAAACCAGCCCCCCAGGAGCTTGGAGATGGAATGTTTCCTCTGACCTGGACTGGTGCCTGCCACCTGCATACCAGTGCATCAGAGGTCGTTGTTAGTTAACTTGGTTGCAAACAGTAGAAAATTACTGTGGCCATTGTCATTGAATGGGAGTGGCAAGACCAAAGGCTATCCTGCGGCTGGCCCTCTGTCAGAGTTCCCAGAATTTCTTACACTTGAAAATGCCCTTGGGCAGTGGCTCTGCAATCTGGAAGAGATCGATTCCAGCAGACTCCAAGTGGTATCTTCATTAGCTCTTTGGCTTTGGGGGTGCCTACCCCAGAATATGAATGGGAAAAGTTCACCAGTCCTCTGCCCTAAGTCAGCCCTGATAACCAATTCCTAAAGGAGGGAAAGATATTTTTTCAGAAGGGAATCTGAGTGCTGTTTGGGAAGGAAAAAGGAAGCAGGGCAGTTAAAAAATGGCCCAGTGCCCACCAAGGCTCTAAGGAAGATAGGACGGAAGCATGGGCACAGCTACATTGGACTCCATATAGATGAGTATAAGCCTCACAGCAAGAGGTGCTTTTCGCATTCCCGTGTCTGTGAGGAACATTAACTCTAGAGAACCCAGAGTCCCCCGTCTCTGTGAGAGCAGCCTCAGGCCTGGGAAAGGCGGCATATCTGGCTCAGTGTAGATGGCCTTGCCCAGCGAGAGATGGCAGTACTGAGGAGATGGGGGGCCCAACAGGAAAATAGGGGATGGTAGACTCTGGACAGCAGGCTGGTGACTGAGACCCAGCCTCTCGGGCTGGAGGATGTGGATGTGTGTGCTGGCACTCCCACCTCTATGCTCTGTGACCTTCAGGGCATGACTTAAGCCTCCTGGTCCTCAGTTTCTACATCTAGAAGATGGGGATAGTCAGGGTCCCTACTTCATAAAGTTGTAATTGAATGAGATATACCATGAAAAGTTCTCACTATGCCTGGAACACTGCGGGCTCCTGATAAGTGGCTCTCTATGGCAGCTGGTCAGCGTGTTGCGTGCGTGTGGGAGATAATCCTCAGGAAATATGTGGAAGGGTCTTGGCAGGTATGATTTGAAGAAAAGGACCACTTTTGAAAGAAGAGGTCAGGAGCCTGGTGTGGGTGTCTCTGACAAGCTGTATGTCCCTCGTTCTTCCTGTGGTCTTTTGGCCTCCTCTTGAAAAACTCCTGGTCCCCTACAGGATTTTGTCTTGTTTGGGGGTGGGGCACATGCCTGTTTAATGCTTTGTTTGGAACAGACCCAGGTGGTCCCATCTCTCCTGGTTACTTCTACCCCCTGCTCACTGCCCCCTGCATGGACTAACTTTAAAAAAACAGTAAGATAGGCCTACAGCACTTTCTGGAATCAAGGTTCTCTGCTTCAGTACTGAAATACACCTTCAAGATCAGCCATCTAAACTTGATTTTCTGCGAGTATTGATAAGAAAACACCTTATACTTTAGTGCTGGTCCAAGTAGCAAAAAGTAAATTAAATTACATAGATAAATGTCTCATCTACTTTTTATTATTCTTAAATTTTTTTTTTTTTTAATGCCAAATGGATAAATAACTCCCGGAGCTTGGTCTCCAACTTCGTTTTGCTATTTCTTTCTCTCCCCTGTGTCTTCATTTTGCTATTTCTGTCTCTCCCCTCCATTGCAACCCTTCCTCTGTCACCCTCCCCCAGCCAGCCCCTCCATCTCTGTGTGGCCCCTGCCCTTTCCTGCCCTCACTAATACTCAGACTCTCTTCTAGACTCCTTCTCACTCTGTACTGTGGGTTTGCAATCTTATTGAAAAAGGATTTGGCTGAATCTGACTTTCATCCTCCAACTACCCTGGGCGAGGCAGGGCTGAAATGT